CTTAATGGAATTTTTGGTCTCCTAAATGTTTTTCTCTCTGTCTGTCTATCTCACTCTCCTTATAAAGATAGCCAAAATTTGTATTCCCGTAGAAATGAAATATGATGCTACCCTGGATTCATTTTGAAGTTAAATAAAACAACACTGTTCATTATTTTGGTGTACATTCACTATATATATATATATATATATATATATATATATATATATATATATGAATGTTTAAATTTTTTTAATTACGTTTAAATTTTTTTAATTACCACCATACTGAATATTTAAACCATAAGGATATTGCAGGAGGTCCACCAATTATTGTGTGATATTAAACTAAAAATATGCATTAATGCAACTGTATGTAAGTCTTCCACCTTTAAATATTAGTTTTAAAATCATTCTGTTGGTTCACTGACTTTTAATAACGAATGGCTTGTGTTTCTTTTCAGGAGTATGTAAATTTGATAACCGGGAACGAAATTCCACAAAAATGACTAATTGCTTTATGGCAGCAACAAATGCACATGTACAGCTCTCCGCCGTAGGCTACAACAGTGCAACAGCGAATTCCACTCGCTTAACGGCTCCAAAGTCGCAAAAATACAAACAATTAGAGCCTACAATTGCTTTAACATTTAAACATTAAGTTTGCTTCATCCAGTGAATGATAATGTTTACTTTATAGTTTAATTGTTCCTTTTTAACATTAAAAACATTCAAATAGCCTACATTTAATATATTACATAATTAAAATGCAGGCTAATATGTTTCAGTCTATCAAGTGATTATTTCAGTGGCTTTGCAATATAAGAATCATAACAAAGTATGTCAAATGAATATGGTAGCTATGCAACAATATGTAACAAGAACAGTATTATATAATAAGTAACAAGGTGTCTGTGCTCTATCTCTTTCTATACACTATGGGGGTCCTTGGCTTGTACAAGGTTGAAAGCACAACAAGGAATCTACAGCCTGATGGAGAATAGTGCCTGTCCTTGATTCTTTCATTCAGATATGCAGGAGTCTGTGCATCTTGGAGGATGAGTGGTGACTGACTGATTTTGTGTTGAGCCTGGTCTGACATGAGTTTTATCTCCTGTAGAAATGACAAATGAAAGTCTGACACTGAGGCACTAACTGGCCCTTGCTCAGTGAGACACTGCAGTGACTCTAAAGTATCTAAGATGTTCATTAGACTTGACCAGAGGTGATCTGACTTTACTGTAGCCCCAAAATTGTGATCTTTGGTAAGCAAGTCTATTCCTCTTTCAGTAAAGTGACATTCTGTGCAAAGCAGAGAGTTTTGAGAAGTCATGCTGACAGTTTGCTTACTGACTGGCTGTGTTTTTAATCTGCAGCTGAATTATAATAAAATTATAATAAAAGCTGAATTATACTAACTGAGTTTTCATTAAATACTGTATATGTATTCAGTTATTTCATTAATATATTCAGTTTTAAACTTGGCTAAGGCTCCTTTTCCAGTTGTTAATGCATTTATTCAAGATGGGTAAAAGATACTGAACAAATCTTTATCCAGAGCCCAGAGTAGTACTTGGTATCAAGTCAGAATGAATGATTGTCAAATCAGTATCTGTAGACTGCACTTTACAAGAGCTCATGGCTTCAAAGGATTGGCTTCAAATAATAAATGTGGTCAATAGCGTCATCTAGTGGAGAGTGGCAGGCACTTTAATGAAAAGCTACTGACATTCAATCTGTACACACATTGTATCAACTAATTTTTACCAGTTTATATATTATATTGTATTATATATTAGATTAAATTAGATTAGTTTTCTATTTATGGAGTCACCTGACCAAACGTGTTGCTAAATGCACTAGAAACTGTAAAAAGTCATTTAAAAGTTAAAAGTTAAAGTTATTATTGAGCACTTTTGGTGGTTATTTTGAGTATTTTAAGAACTCATACAAAATCTTTTACAAAATGATTTAGAATGTATCCGGACATAGGCTATATATTTATATAGGCTATAATTAAATTAAAATCTTAATTATTTAAAGTTATTATTGGGCCCTTTTGGTGGTTATTTTGAGTATTATATATGGGTTTCGTTGATCATTTCAATATCTCAAGTCTCAAGTCTCAAGTCTGCTTTATTGTCAATTCTTCCACATGTACAGCACATACACACAGAGAACTGATATGCAATATGCAAATGAATAAAAAAATAAATAGCCTATATAATCCCTATATCGTACACATGAACAAATTTGCGAAAAGTAGATCGAATTTTTTTTTTTTTTATTAAATAGATTTTTTTTATTAGAAACACTGATCTATAATAGAGAATATTTATAGATCGGTGATTTGAAATTATATTTTTCTATTCTTCCTTTGCTGAATTGAGAAATTAGTTTATTCGCATGCTTCACACACTTTTTTTGAATTTCCATTAGGAAAGGGTTAGGATGTTTGTGAAAATACATTTTGAAAGTACATTCATTTTTAACCCATAGACATAACAAATAAGTATTTATTATGTCTGTGTTTCAACCACCTTCCTCTTGGCTGAGAGTTAGCTGATTGGTGGAGACAAGCCGGAAGTGGCCTGACGCCATCGCGCTCTGTGAGCAGTCATAGAAAGCGCGCGAGGAGCAGAAGGGTTTACTGGTATGTTGCGTCTGTTTCACACACTTGACTTTTGTCATAAAACTTGACATAAAAACACAATAATCACTAACATATAGCTTCCGCTTGTCTGTTTTACATGTCTGCAGTGGTTTTAAGGAGCTATTGGTATCGGTCGCGTGTCCGTTAACATTTTAGCAGAAAGCGAATTTCAGTGTGACATTAGTTTTTATAAAACCTAAGTTAATGTTGTACCTGCCCAGTATCTCACAGTAAATTTGCTGTATTGAAGTTTCCGAAGTCGCCTCGAGCGATGTCTCAAGTGGTTTCGTTTTCATGTTTTGATTTAATTTGAATTAACGTTACGTTTCATTTTGCGCTCAAATGGTCTGTTAGTAGCCTATAACAAAACTAACTATTTATGTTGAATTGTGTTACTGAATATCCTATATTTCGTTATACGACGTGCCTGGCACGACGTACGAAAGAGCATAACGATTTTCTGTGGAAACAGCCGTGATAGCATCACTTATATCACCTTACCTTTCGTGGTTTTGTCTTGGTTTCTGTGATCGTGATCAGTTTTGTCAGGTCTGTGTGACAAGGACAGCTCAATGTCAAATCAAAACCAGAACAATACCAAAACATGCCAGTCTATGTTATGCATTTTCAGATTTTTTTTTTTTGTAGGCTCTCTGTACAATGCAAGTAACTGCAATAAATATATAAGGTTTCAGCTTACACTGTTCTATCTGTAAATTTGCCATGTTATAATCAGAACCACTGTTGATTTGTCTGTTTTCTTAAAAGATGTATCCAGCCTACATGCTCTGACTTGGCTATTGGTCAAACATTCTTATAATAATCCTCAAACCACACGACAAACAAAACGGCAATTTAAAAACAACCTAAATGCAGTCCACCTTTGCTTTAACAAATGCACATTTTGTCATCTTGATTGTGACAACTAAAAGGAAATTACAACTTTTTATCTCACAATTCAGATGTTTTTCTTGCAATTCATCTTTTTTTTCGTAGAACTGCAAGATATAAACTCAGAATTGCAAGGTATAAGTCGCAATTACCTTTTTTTCTTCTGTGGCTGAAACAGCAAGTGAGAAAAAAGTCGGAGATATACATTTGGAATTGCAAGTAAAAAAAATATCAGAATTATGAGTTTATACCTCACAATTCTTTTTTTTCTCAGAATTGCAAGAAACATAGTCTGAAATTTGTGAGATAAAGTTGCAATTACCTTTTAAAAAAATGTTATTGAAGGAAATGGGTTTGTTTATGTGTTATAGATCTTACTGTAAACTGGATCTTTCTCTGGTGACACATGCAGGATTTCTCCAGTCATTTAGTCTGCTTAAACCCGTCCGCACGAACTCGCATTCATCTGCTTCCATATTTGGGTGCAGTGCCCACGTTTCAAAATCCAATCAACAGCTGCTGCATCAAGCTTAGTCTCTGTCCTGCATTTGTACTTTTCCGATCATTCGTTACACTCAGATCTAATACAGAAGAAAAGATCTGTTGCACCTTTAAAGGAACACTCCACTATTTTTGAAAATAGGCTAATTTTCCAACTCTGCCAAAATCACAACTTTTCATTTTCCGTCGGTCTTAGTACACGATGTAACTACAGAAGAGTCAAGTTTTAAATAGGAAAAATATCGAAACTCTTTGGTCATTTTTGAGCGAGATGCTAACGGTCTAATCAGATTCAATGATCTATGCTAAGCTACAGCTAAAAGTGCTACCGCCAGACCCGGAGATCGGCTGAATGGATTCGAAAACGGTAAAACTCAACTGTTTAACTCTAGGGGAGTTGGAAAATTAGCCTATTTTCAAAAATAGTGGAGTGTTCCTTTAAGTGGTTACATTCATCTAATAAGATTTGGTGTGAATCGTTTTTAAGCTAAAACTAGAGACTTTATTTGCAACAAGACAAGGAAAACATACAAATGTACAAATTCCCACTTGTTGTTTGACCTCCTATTAAGTGACGTGGCAGTGTAATGACAATAAAGGATATAAATGACTGTGTTTATTCTGAAAGATAAATGTTTAATGTTTGTAGGAGATGTCGAAGAGGAAGAGCTGTAATTCAGGGCAGACGCCTGATAAGAGAAGCCGGTTATCCCAACCCGAGCCCTCTGAAGAGGATGAAACGGGCTACTTCAGTTCAGGAGATGTTATGAGCACATCACAGAGTGTAAGACTTGCGCAGCACAGTACAACTGTCTCGACTGCTCATTTTTGCTGTAAAATACCTTATGTGTAATACCTTATGCACATTCTGCATAGACTTTTGCTTGTGATGTCTCCAAACACATCTATGTATGTGTGTTTTCAGGTCACAGGTGAAGTGGGCATCATAGAGAGTATCTCTCTAAGGAACTTCATGTGTCACTCGATGCTTGGTCCCTTTGAATTTGGTCCAAACGTCAACTTTGTCGTAGGAAACAATGGAAGTAAGTCTATCCCCATATTTAATTTTTTAGTTGTATGAAAATAGAGTTTTCTGCGCATGGCAGTCATGGCAATGCTTTACCTGAATTGTGAAGTTTTAGTAACTGTTTTAGATTCAAAATCCAGACTACTTGTTTGAATCAGTCTGATGATTCTTCCATTGAATTAACTCATTGAACCAATTTGATGTTGAAAATAAAGTATCATACATGTTATTCACTCTTTTTTTAGCCTCATTTAACCTTGACGTTTTCCTCACCTGTTGTTGTTTTGTTTGTTTTTTTTGAGAGAGTAAAAAAGAACGTCACTTGCCTTGTTCAATAGAACAGCAAAACATTTTTGTATTTGCCATTCTTTTTTAAAGGACATTGTAATATGGTAAAATATAGTAATACATATTGCTAACATAAATGTGTGGCATAATGTAATAATCAAAGATTTAAAGCATTATTCAAAGACTTAAGGGATAGTTCACCCAAAAATGAAAATTCTGTCTTTAATTTCTCACCCTCATTTCATTCCAAACCCATAAGACCTTCGTTCATCTTCAGAACACAGATGAAGATATTTTTGATAAAATCCGAGAGATTTCTGACCCTGCATAGATAGCAATGCAACTGATATGTTCCCATACCCCGAAACATATTAAGGAGATCAGTAAAACAGTCCATGTGACATCGGTGGTTCAACCGCAATTTTAGGAAGCTACGAGAATACGTTTTGTGCATAAAGAAAACAAAAATAACAACTTTATTCAATAATTCAAACAGTGATATGAGCGTGAGTAATTAATGACAGAATTTACATTTTTGGGAGAACTACCGCTTTAAGGGGAAGTCGTGACCTAATGTTTAGAGAGTCGGACTTGTAACCCGAAGGTTGTGGGTTCGAGTCTCAGGTCCGGCAGGAATTGTCGGTGGGTGGGGTGAATTAACCAGCGCTCTCTCCACCCTCAATACCACAACTGAGGTGAGACCCTTGAGCAAGGCACCGAACCCCCAACTGCTCCCCGGGTGCCACAGCAATATGGCTGCCCACTGCTCCGGGTGTGTGTGTTCACTACTGTGTGTGTGCACTTGGATGGATTAAATGCAGAGCACTAATTCCGAGTATGGGTCACCATACTTGGCCACGTGTCACTTCACTTTCACTTCGCTTTTCACTTTAAGCGGTAAAATAAGTACACCATAGTCTGGACCACTAGGGGGCCACAGAACCCTGGTTGGGGAACATTGCAGCCATAAAAGTGTGCACTGTGCCTCAGAAATATTTCTTGCATCAAATTATAAGAGGCCACTAAGTTTGAACCTTGATCAACTGACAGCTGTTTGAAATAAACTAATTAAAGGAACAGTTCACCCAAAAATATGTTTTGTATGTACCCAATAAAATATTTGTATCACAAGTACAAGAATCTTTCGTATGTACAAAATATGGTCCTTTTTTATTTTGAAAGTAAAATTTTATAAAATATCTGTACTTGTTATGTTTTATTTATTATATTATATTGTTGATATATAATTTGTATCTACCATGTAATAGCCAGTGAAGTTGCAATGTCAATATATTTAAATACAACAACCAACTAACCACCAAAAAATGGGAATTTGCTGAAAATGTACTCACTCTCAGACTGTCCAAGAAGTTTTTTCCTCATTGGAACAGATTTGGAGAAATGTAGCATTACATCACTTGCTTATCAATGGATCCTCTGCAGTGAATGGGTGCCATCAGAATGAGAGTCCAAACAGCTGACATCACAATATTCCACAACACAGCTAAAGGCGTTCAATTATTGTTTTTTGTTTTTTTGTTTGTTTTTTTGCATATTTGTAATGAAATCAATCATTAAGGATTCACTGAAGTGGATTCATTGGTCAGCAAAAGATGTAATGCTGAATTTCTCCAAATCTGTTGAATTTGAAGGGGGGGGTTTAATGAAGTACTGTAGTTATCCATAATTTGGAAGCTCGATTACATAATCATGAATTTTTAAATAGGCATATCATTAACTATGATAAGAAGAAAACAATATATCAAGAGACTGTTGTTATTGCTTGTTATCAATGCTGACGAAGTTTTTATGACTTTTATTTATAGTTGTTTCATGTACATTTGTGTGTTAGGTGGAAAAAGTGCCGTGCTGACAGCTCTGATTGTAGCCCTGGGCGGTAAAGCTCACACCACGAACAGAGGCTCCTCACTCAAAGGATTTGTGAAGGAAAGAGAGAGGTACGACACACCTATCCGGATTTCACTGGGTGTAGTCACAGTCTATTTATAGTCTCTCACACTGTTTTTGTTTCTGGAATGTTTAGTTCTGCAGATGTGTCCATCACTCTGAGGAACAGGGGTCGTGATGCGTATAAGCCAGAAGTGTTTGGCCAGTCCATCATCGTAGATCTTCGTATTTCCAGCGAGGGAATGCGAACATATAAACTAAGAAGTAAAACAGGTATACTTACAAATACAGAAACCATTTCACCTTTGGGTACTCACTTACTTTGGGTAGTTTAAATTAGGACTGTGATTTTAAGACAAAGTTAACTCCAAAAAAAAAAAGAAAATTGTCATGATTTACTTACCCTTATGATGCTCCAAACCCATAAGATCCATGTTCATGTGCAAAACATAAATAATCATATTTTAAATGAAACCTGAGAGATTTCTTTCCTACCTTTGAAAGTGCATTCCCCAAAACTTTTGACACTTCAAAGAGTTCATAAAGACATTGTAAAAATAATCCATATGAATCGACCTGTTTAAAGGGATAGTTCACCCAAAAAAGAAAATTACCCCATGATTTACTCACTCTCAAGTCATCCTAGATAATCCGTGTATCATTCGTTTTTTTATTTAATATTGAAAGTAGAAAAATGAAAAAATGGCTCCTTTTTCGGGGGGTTTTTTTCCCCAAAAAAACGAGAATTCAAGTTAAAATTTTCGTTTTTCATTCAGGGATAGAAAAATTAATAAACAGCTTGAATATTCGATTTCTACATGTGGGCGGGAATTAAACGCCCCTTTCTGCTGATTGGTCAGCTGAAGATCAAACCGTGCCGTCAATTGCGATGGGTTAAATAATTACTCAATAAGCAGACAGACGTGACTACAGTCAAGCGCAGACCAGTATTGAAGTGCACAGGAAATAAGCAGCAGTCATAATTAAAGCAGTTTAAATATGTAGTTTAAATTATTATTGAGTACTACTGATTGCTGTTCACTTGGATTTTTTTCCCCATCGAGGGGAAATAACTTAATACTCTTGGTCATTAAATAGTCGTATGGTAAAATGTATATTTTTATTTGTGTAGCGGTGCATTCAAAATAACTACAAAATGCCATGCCTTTGAAAAATAAAGAGAACAGCAGAATGCGCTGCTTTAGCGCGTCGGTCTCCTTGAGCATCTTTCCGGCGCATGCCACAAACATGAACCACAGCGAATACTTGTCTTTTAAAAGGCTTCATTTAGATTATTTGATGTTAAATGCATCATATAAGTCACTTGTTTGGAATAAATCACAGTATGTATCATGATAAAAAAGCAACTTTACAGTCTAAAATACGGTAGGCTATAGCAAATTATTTCGCGGACCCCCTATCACTTTAAGAACTGCTGGTCTACACAGTAGAAAGCCCTGTCTAGACTCTGCTCCGGTACGAGTTGTGTCAAGCTATTCATTAGTCTGTTTGTTTGATGAAAAAATATGAAATGTAGTTGCAATAAATGCGTTAAGAATCTGTCCAACTGCAGCAGCGGAGGACTATTATTCTGCCTTGCAGAACTGTGAAAGAACTGATGATGGCACGGTTTGATCTTCGGCTGACCAATCAGCAGAAAGGGGCGTTTAATTCCCGCCCAATTGTAGAAATCGTATATTCAAGCTGTTTAATCATTTTTCTATCCCTGAACGAAAAACTAAAATTTAAGCTGAATTCTCATTTTTCGTTTTTTGGAAAAAACAAAAAAGGAGCATTTTTTTCATTTTTCTACTTTCAATATTAAATCAAAAAACGAATGATGCACGGATTCTAGATGTATATGACTTTCTTTTTTTCAGACAATTACAGTCAGAATTATATAAAAAAATGTCCTGGCTCTCCCAAGCTTTATAATGGCAGTGAATAGGGGTCGAGACTCGAGATTTTGAAACCCACAAAAAGTGCATCCATCCATCATAAAAAGGGGGTTAATAAAGGCGTTATATTTTTTTTACTAATTTTAGAGCAATTCAATCTTGACAGGCAGTTTATACATTTAATAGTGATTCATATAACAATTTCAGTTGAAATTGTTAATCTTTGTTTTCAACTCCATACTTTTAATGCTCCTAAAAATGTTACTTTGACACATCCCAAAATAACATTTGTGTCTGTGCTCTTGTGACAGAAGGCAAGTAAAGACTTGCTGAAAGCGCTTGTAATTAAAGCCAGCATCTAATTCTTTCCTGATGTGTAATTGACAGTCAGTCGAGTCAGATGTGCACATATGCACAGCATATGTGGCATCTGTGGTGCTCCGCTGGTTTTGCTTTAGACTGGATATCAAGTGCCAAAGTTGTCACTTGTCAGTCATACCAAATTATGGTTTCATGCCCAGTATTTCACTGCAGAGAACACACTGTGGTTGGTACGAACCATGTTTATACTCTTTAGTGAACCTGTATTTGTTGTAGTCTGGGTTATATTTATTTAACCTTGCGTAGTTTTGTTCATGGGGTTTGAGGATGAGGGCAAGTCACGCAACCTGTCCATGGTGACATCTGCCTAATTTAGTTGGCTTCTACCACATGACAGATGAGTTAGATCAATAATCTGACAATTTGATTTGCCTGTCTCCCAGGTCGCTTAGTGTCATCAAAAAAGGAAGAACTGATCTCCATTTTGGATCACTTTAACATCCAGGTATGGCTAAAGATCCTCCCAATTCTCTAAATGTATGCTAACAAAACTATTTAAATGATCTGTTTTGATTTATCTGATTGGTTTTTCATCCTCAGGTGGACAATCCGGTCTCTATCCTAACTCAGGAAATGAGTAAACACTTCCTCCACTCCAAAGGAGAGGGCGACAAATATAAAGTGAGACTTTGTGTGTGTTTGTGCATTTGTTTCTCTTATAACAAATACAAACTTGAAATTTGCTTTGCTTTTTTTCTTTAGTTTTTCATGAAGGTCACTCAGCTTGATCAGATGAAAGAAGATTACAGCTACATCATGAAGACCAAGACCATGACCCAGAATACAGTGGAGAAGCACAGGGAGGTAAGTGCTGAAATAATCACATTTACATAGTGGTTTATGTAACTGAACTGAAATTATGTATTGGATGGAGCATCTTTGGAAACAGTATCTGATTGGATTGCTAAACTAGATGCTCTTTAAGATGGCAATATAGTTTTCTTTCACTCTCTGGTTTCTGGCACACCATTTCTTCTCACACAGACTCTACAAGAGCTGAAGAGAAAGTACCATGAGAAAGAAGAGCGCTATAAAAGTCTGGCTTCACTTGATGAAATGCAGAAGAAGTTGGATGAGCTGAAGAATCAGATGGCCTGGGCTCTGGTTAGGAATCACTGCCAGCATAACATGAACTGTGACTGCATGGCTCAAATCAAAATGAACACAACAATACTATCATTTCCTAATCAGATTTGATCACTTTCATATTATAATCGTATAATCTTTGCAATGGTAAACTGTGGTTCTTATACTTTTAATGGCACATTTCTGTTGAGTGGCACGTAATGCACAGCATGATTGACAAACGAATGGATTTTTTAATGATTCAGTCAGAATGACTCAGAATTCATTTGTTTTAATCAGTGTAACAACTCATTCACTGATTACTCCCTGAGCAGGGGAAATCCGTTGAAGTTTACTTCACCTCGGAACATTCATTCATGTATTTGTGCTGCGCCGCTGCCTGCAGCGTCATCACACACAGACGAGTGTGACATCATATACCTCTGTAAATAAATACAATTTAAATTCACGTCTCGCACACTGGTGACTGAATATTGTCTGGAGTTTCTGTGGTCCAGTTTCCTCTAGTGTTCATGAAGCCACACATTTGACTACAAGATAGTTTGGGCAAGATTTCAGCTTTTCCTGCCTAAGTATGAATTTTTGGCCAGAATGAGACTGATGAGACTTTAAATCAGTCAAATCTCTTTTTTTTTTTTTTTCACAGTTTAGGGGCAGGGTTTCGCACACTTGTAATGCCCTTTGAATTGAACATATGGGGGTGAGGACTGGAATTGGGAACCGCTGGGATAGACCATTTGCAACAGTAGGCCAATTGCTAGGACATTGCAAACATAAATTTGCTCTTGGCCACAGCAGATCACGACTTTAGCACCATTGATATTCTAACTCTCATACTGCCATCTTTCAGCAACCCTCAAAGCTTTTTGCTGTTATTACAGAACTCTGTTGGGTTGTGCACAGCCAGCAGCCCTAGTTACTTTATTGAAGAAAATTCTTAGTGAACATCAGGGGCAGGTTTAGCAGAAATACATTATTCCACAGTATAGATTCACATTCAAGTAGCTTCATTGGCATGAAAAAAAAAAACTTTACATTTCCAAAGCACTGGTAACATAAAATTACAGACACTTTTAAACACACAAAAAGTTATATAAAGTGAGAAGTGAGAAAGAACAGGCAAAAAAAGTATGCAATGAGTGTTGATGTTATTGTGAAGTTGGTGGTCCTGTTGCACAACACCTGGCAGCCATGTTTGCGCTTGCTGAGGTTTCTCCTAGCAGATGTGGGAGTTTGTTCTTGATATAGACTGACATGAAAATATTCAAGTAATGGCACAACAGTCAAACGCTTGTATTAAAAACACCTAAAACATTTGTACAAATTATTTTCAAATAACCTACTACAAAGTGCTTAAAACAAAAGTTGAATAACGTTCAAATATTTGATGCTGCAAACCAATAAGTTTCTTAATCAGACATGCTCAAGAGTTGCTTAAAAACAGCCAATTTTGCCTTGTTTTCGTCTAATTTTTACAATAAGATTCATTTGTCAACACATTACCAATTTATAATTGCAATGGCATGATTTTGGGTTTTCAGCTTTTTTACTGCAAATTAACACTAGATGTACAACCCTCAAAGCTTTTTGCTGTTATTACAGAACTCTGTTGGGTTGTGCACAGCCAGCAGCCCTAGTTACTTTATTGAAGAAAATTCTTAGTGAACATCTAATTATGTTTGATTCACAGTAATGTGCAGTGTGTCTATTTTGGGTGTTGTTTGTTTGTAGGGGAAAGTTCAGGAGGCCAACAGGATATTGGGACAGTTGAGCAGATGTGGGAGTTTGTTCTTGATATAGACTGACATGAAAATATTCAAGTAATGGCACAACAGTCAAACGCTTGTATTAAAAACACCTAAAACATTTGTACAAATTATTTTCAAATAACCTACTACAAAGTGCTTAAAACAAAAGTTGAATAACGTTCAAATATTTGATGCTGCAAACCAATAAGTTTCTTAATCAGACATGCTCAAGAGTTGCTTAAAAACAGCCAATTTTGCCTTGTTTTCGTCTAATTTTTACAATAAGATTCATTTGTCAACACATTACCAATTTATAATTGCAATGGCATGATTTTGGGTTTTCAGCTTTTTTACTGCAAATTAACACTAGATGTACAATCAGGTTTGGCACACCAAGATTTCCTGCTAATTCTTACTGCGTTTTGATAACAATGAGAAATACTCAGAAATCCAAAGAAGAAAAACAGCTACAGTTATGCAGCTTATGTACATTAATGGGCTCATGGAAAGTGTGAAGATTATTAGGATTTATGTATTTTTCTTCCATAATGACATAGATTAGACCAGCGGTTCCCAATTGGGACATATTCCATTAGGATTTAGTGCTTTTAACAAGCCACCAATAGAAGGCAACCAAACAGGCACCATTACAGTGACCATTAAAACCAATACAAGTCCCATTATAACCAGTAAAACCATTACAAATGTTGTGATGGTGTCTATTGTTTTTTTTTTTTTTTTTTCACTTGGTTTAGGCTGGTCTTCATCGTAAAAAGACTAACTTGAGAGACCTTGAAAAGGATAAAGATCAGCTTAACAAGCGGATCCGAGAACTCAAACACAGGTACTTCAAAAGTGTATCGAAAGGAAACAACGTTACGTAACATTATCCTTGTACAATTTCCAGCTGTTTCATTATGACCCAACTTGTCCTCTCTGTCCAGCATAAGTCAGACGAACTCAACTGACACTCATGCTCGTGTGGAGAAGATGAATCACATTCAGGCTGAGCTGGAACAACTAAATTTCCAGGACTCCACTCTGACTCAGCAGATTGATCAGCTTAAACAGGCCTGCTCCACAGCTAAAGACAGACTGGGTAAAATGAGGTTAGTGCAGTTCTGGGTGAAAGTCTTTTCTATACACAGGGATCCCACTATGATGTTTAGAATATCTGGGAATTTTACAATTTTCATGCCTGGAAAAAGTCACACCATTTATTAATATTAGTCATGGATGTAAATAAAGAAATATGTAAATGGTATATGGTATTGTTTTTTTAGTTATGTCAGCTAGAAATAAAGTCCCCATAGGGATTTTTTTTTTTTTTAAAGGTCTTAATTAAAAGGTTTTAAGCTTTGAACCAAACCAGCTATTAGGATGAAATTGCAACATTACAAACTTCAAATTAAAGCAAAATTGTTTCAAATTGGACAAAAAGTCAAAGGTACAAGACTGTGTACATAATGGCTTTAATGAGAGAAAGAACTACCATCCCATAAAGCATTGTGCATGCCGTAATTGAATTAAAATTGGTGGAGAAATATGAAACTATTGACTTAAAGATGCTGATTATACATATGGAGACAATATATTTTACATTTACTGCAAAATATGAATGTTATGCTTAGGGATACTGGCCCTACATCATTCACAGTGCTTTATGGGAGTTGGCGGCACTAAAGTGTTCTTTTTTTTGCTGTGATTTACAATTCTCTGATAGGTGGAGATTTCTCTGCAGAATCATGGTTAATGTAGTTTTTCACTAGGAATTCTGCTTTTGAACACAATTATTTAAGAAATAAGTTGAAATAATGCTGTTTCAACAGAAGCGTATACCATCGATTAACCACCTCTGAGCTCACAGTAAGCCTTAAAAAGTCTTAAAGTTATCATTCAAAATAAAATTTTCTATGGAGAAAATGAATATGATTTTTTTAGTTCTGAAACCCGACTGTTCCACTCTATTACTGGCACTGATAATGGGAAGTCCCAGCAGATTTTCTTGCTTTCATTGAAATTATGATCACATAATTCATAATAAAAAATATTACCGAATTAAAATAGAAAAAAGGTAAAAAAAAATTTTACAAATTGAAAAAAGAAGCATTTCACTAGTGGTCCCAAACTTCTGGGTTGACTGGATCTTAAATGTACACCAAATGTCCTTGTTTCTAATTCTAATTCTTATTTTATCTTTATCTCACTTTGTCTATCTTGCAATCTTCCTTTTCTCTTCATTTTGTAGCCGTGAAAAGCAGGACCTGCTGCGTGCGATGGAATCTAAACGACGTGACCTGGCTGCAATGGAAAGCAGTCGAGAAAACCGACTTTGTCGCTTTGGTGAGCATATGCCAGCACTGCTAAGGGCTATAGATGAGGCTGACCAGCGGGGTCAGTTCAGGAAGAAACCTGTAGGACCGCTCGGTAAGTATCCTGAACCTCAGAATTCAGATTCGGGGGTTCAAATTTACTTTTAAAATAAATTTGATGTTAAATTTGATTAGTCATCACTTCTGGAGAAAAATAGGGCAGTCACTGGGCAGGGATGAAACTTTCTGGTGCCCATGTGTTCATGTACACAATGAAATAATCTATACTTTGAAAGGTTGTGTGTTTTGTCAAAATTGAAGTAAACTTTGGGCTTTAGGAGAAACAGTGTCATATGGAAGTTTGTTGTTTACTGGTTATTTTGTTTCTAGGATTCTGTGTATGTCTGCGGGATCCAGAGCTGGGTCTTGCAGTGGAGTGTTGTCTGAAGGCTCTGATGTTAGCTTTCTGTTGCGATAACCACGCTGACGAGAGAGAGTTACAGAGAATCATGAGTCGCCACTTCCAGCAGGGAAGACGACCTCAGATCATCGTCAGCACGTTTACCAACACGGTCTATGATGTCAGGGGCAGGTAGCTAGAGATCACCTGACCTGATAACTAATTTAGGAATGATTACCACTGTTTTCTGCCTTATTTTAATTATTGTATTATCTGGTATTGTATCTGGTGTCATTGTATTAAAAGCTATTAATAAAATGGTAAATCCACATTTACCAGTTGATCTAAAGTTATTGTGTAAAAAGTCAGGAAAAACCAGAGCTGATGACCCACTTGATTGTTTTTCCTTACTAATGTAATTTAGAAAGTTTCAGCTTGTAGGTTTCTAGCCAAACTTCACATCTTTGGTTTGTAGCCAATATAAGTTGATCTGTCAAAGCACAAAAGAAAACGTGTATGGTTGAAAAAATTAATTAAATATTTTCTCTTTTTTTATTGGTTTTCAGGGCAGTCAATCACCATGAATATCCAACTGTGCTCCAGGCACTTGACATTGAGAATCCAGTTGTGGCCAACTGCTTGATAGACATGAGGGGAATTGAAACCATTCTGCTCATCAAGGTAAGACCATGAGGAGGCCGACGAGCATTTCCCTGTTTGATCATAATGTGTTTCCACATCCTGTGAAGTGAAGAGCTCTGTTCAACTCTGCTTTGATTTTCCCACAGAACGCTAAAGATGCGAGAAGGGTCATGCAGAGTGAAGACCGACCACGCAACTGCAGGGAGGCCTTCACGCGTGAGGGGGACCAGGTCTACTATAACCGTTACTACTCCTCCGAACAGAACAGAGCACTCTACCTCAGCAGAGATGTCGAAGAGGAAATCAGGTTTGAAAATATGAAATCCATTTTTGAGATGTCTGGATTCTTTTCAGTGCATGGCAAAAAGAAATCAATTGACCGTTCGCAAAGACCCGCCCACCCTTAGTTACTGTTGCTATCCCCGACAAACAATGCCGCTCTCACACTACAAATCATGTTCTCACGCAGTGAAAAATACATTGCACATCAAAGAGGAAACTGACAACACCGACAGACAAGCAGGTTAGAGCAGAGCAGCGTGAGACTAGTTAAAGGGATAGTTCACCCAAAAATTTAAATTCTGTCATTAATTGACCGTTCGCAAAGACCCGCCATCCTTAGTTACTGTTGCCATCCCCGACAAACAATGCCGCTCTCACACTACAAATCATGTTCTCACGCAGTGAAAAATACATTGCACATCAAAGAGGAAACTGACAACACCGACAGACAAGCAGGTTAGAGCAGAGCAGGTTGCTTCTGGTATGAAACAAGGTCTCAGGACTCTCATCTTTCAAATTTTGTCATTTTTAAAGAAATTCAAACAAAAAATACAGTTTTGTGGCTCTTTCATGTGTCGTAACAGATCGCTGTATTGCCTCAGTTCAAACACGTGTTCCTATCGTCTTTTATGTACTTAAACATGAATAAACATCAGAACATATTTTATTTCAACTGCGGAACACACATTTTTTCAAGTTTAAGTCCACTGAAGTTAATCTACTCTCCTGTCTGATTTGTGGTTAAGGCTAGAAGGGATACAGCTGCGGCTACTGGGCATGTGCACACCAATAAAGCGTAATTTTGGTCACACTGTACTAGGGCTGGACGATATGGCCAAAATTTATATCACGATATATTTCTTAATTTCGGTCGATACGATATAATTCCGATATCGATATGAACACTATGTACAACAACAATTACTGTTTTTGCATTATTGTTTAGGGTTGGGGTAGGTGTAGACATTAATAAAACACAATCTAACCACCTTTTTCTGACAACAGAAGTCTCGCCCGACTGGAACGGTGCTTTATATTTCCGGTCTCTGGTGTTTCTATTCACATTTACATATTTTCTGAGCCGACAATATAACATGAAACCTATGAAAATGGTTTTAAAAAGCACATGGCGCCATAGTTTCATCACTTTACAGTGTCGCAATGACTGTCTTTTGCAGTAAAGGACCTGTCATAGTTTAATGAGTGGGAAGATGACATGAAGCGACGCAAGGTTAACTGCATTGAAAACAGATGAGCGCACATATGCATATACAGACAGCTCCCGATCGGGACAAAGTTCATGGGATATTGTCCACAAAATGATAAGAGCACACATTTTAACATATTTTATTATTTCACAGTCACACTCAGTATTTCATTCTTTAAATTAAATTTAAAATTAAGCTAAATTCCTTTAGCTTATTGCCGTTACTGTGGCAGCCAACAACAGCACAGCTTAACCCTGCGCACATTTTTATATTAAAAAAATGCTTAAATATAAAAACTGAAAAAGTTTCAATTCAGTCTATCTTTTTTACCCCGTTTTAACATGAATTTCTATGGAGACGGGCCATAGCTGTCGGACAAGATGGCGGATAGCAACGGCGACACATAATATCCGTGTTCTGATTGATCAGATTGCCTGTCAATCAAGCTTTTTGCGAACGGTCAATTATTTACCACAATTTAGGTCTTTAGTTTTTCTAAATTCTTAACTTGAGACCGAAATTTCTACATGCGACATATTTTGGCCTAAAGCATGGGGCCTAGTGGCAACACTGTCTTGTTTTACAGTCATAAATAAATGGATAAGATGGAAAAACAACAGACTACTTGAGACGACAGAAGAATTATTATTTCCAGCTGATGAGTGATAAAAACGTTGACAGCTATTCAAAATCCAGCCAACTTAAAAAACTTGAGCATTTAAAGCAGCATACGACAGAACTGCAATAGACAATTATAAACTGATGGGTCTGATGGTATGTCTGAGTGTGATGCATCTTATCAGTAACATTATCTGTAACATAATGTTAACTCTATATTTATATTTAACTCTATCTTTAACTTGTACCATCAAGAATATCAGGCCCTTTCTTTCGGAACATGCTTCACAACTCCTTGTTCAAGCTCTTGTTCTGTCCAGGCTGGACTATTGCAATGCTCTCTTGGCAGGTCTTCCAGCCAGTTCTATCAAACCTTTACAATTAATCCAGAATGCGGCAGCAAGATGAATTTTTAATGAGCCAAAAAGCATGTCACACCTCTGTTTATCAATTTGCACTGGCTACCAATAGCTGCTCGCATTAAATTCAAGGCATTAATGTTTGCCTACAAAACCACCACTGGCTCTGCACCCCTTTACCTAAATTCATTACTTCAGACTTATGTGCCCTCTAGAAGCTTGCGTTCAGCAAGTAAACGTCGCTTTATTGTGTCATCCCAAAGAGGCACAAAATTTAATTCTATTCTTTAAAAAAAAAACTTGCCCCTTTTAGACTTCCACTCTATTCATTTACTAACTACTTGTTTTCTTTAAAAAAAAAACAACAGCTTCTCTAATCTTTTTGTATTCTATCTATTTGTTTTCTTTTTTATTTATTATATAATTAAAAATACCTTGCTACATGTACTGCGTTAAGCTAACTGAGATTTGTTATAGCACTTGCATATCATTGCTCTTTTGTTGATTTTGATTGCTTCCATTGTCCTCATTTGTAAGTCACTTTGGATAAAAGCGTCTGCTAAATGACTAAATGTAATGTAATGTAAATATGAATCGCAATTCCGTTTTCTAACATTTCTAATGGAATCACAAGTTTCAAAATCAGTGTTCTAAAGCAGCGGCTCTTAATCCTGTTCCTCGCGTCCCCTGCTCTGCACTCTCTCTCTCTCTCTCTCTGTTCCAATTATACACTTTTTGTATAGACAGACAGATATTTTTCACATAGCTACAAGAAGCGTTAAACATGGATGCACATGCGGTTGCCGTGGTAGCGAGCAGTACTTGCTGTCAAACCCTTCTTACTGTTACAAAATAAACAATTTACAAAAATGCTACAACACAATCATGTATTCTGCTGTATTAAAGCTTTAATCAGGATAAAACTGTATATTAGAAGCTAACATAAGCACTAGCATTTACAAGTAACAGCGCATCTAAAAGTATGAGACAACAACAAACAAAAAAACACACCATTCTGAAACGTCCTGTAAGAGCCGTGCTTGCACAGGTTCTGTGCGATCCTCTTCACTAATATTCTCTGGGTCTCATTCGGGCTCAAATTGATAAGCAATATTGATGACGCCATTGTTTACAATACAACCGGAGCACGTGCAACTGAGCTGAGGGGGCGTGACGTTTAGACGTGCAGTAGGCGGTTTAACGAATTACAATACATTGAGCCAGTTGACCAATCTGAGCCCATCGCGTATTTATGACGCGGAGCACGTGCCACTGAGCTGAGGGGGCGTGACGTTTAGACGTGCAGTAGGCGGTTTAACGAATCACAATACATTGAGCCAGTTGACCAATCTGAGCCCATCGCGTATTTATGACGAAAGGGCTTCATAAAACCAGGAAATCATCAGAGCGTTAATCGGAGAAGGGACAGAGCGGTGTAGAATAAAAGTAAATTATGTGAAACAATGCGTTTTTTTTTTAAAACAAAGCATTAACTCATGTTAGACTGCACCCCATAAACACAATCAAGCCTAGAAAAAAAGCAGTCAACCGCCCCTTTAACTTTTGAATGGTAACAGTTTAAAATTCAAACTGTATCTTCTTTGTCAAGCCAACACTAATTCAACATGTCAAACCAACATTCAACATGATCATTTAATTGTACATTGTCCAGCCTCCCATCTGCACTGAGACATTACCTTTTTTTGTACCCCCATATTTTTATTTTATTTGGATATTTTTCATTCATTTTGATGTTGGCTTGGATTTAGAATTCATATTCATGTGGACAGTTTTCTATTTATCTGATCAACAACCAAGAAAGATCAAAACCTTTTTTTTTTTCTTGGTTCTGCAGACATTTGCAATCTGCTTTACATGCCCAGAGAACACATTTGGATCGCTTTCAGCAGGACATGCAGCAGGTCACTGAGGACGAGAAGCAGAACCAAACTCTTCTTCGCAGAGCCTATGAAGAACACAAGAAAGCCCAGGTCATTAAATACCTGCCGTGCACAGACCACATCATAGCATTTTAACCAAATATGTTCTAATATGTATTTTTTGTTTATTTTGACTAACAGGAACGTTGTCGGAAGCTTCAAGCAGAGCTGACAGAATTGCAAAATGTTGAGGAACCTCAGTCAGAAGATTTGAAACCTTTGGTAATAAACAGATTCACTCAATATAAACATAAATGTTTCTGTGTCTAACTATGGCTCTGTGTTCAGGAAGAGGACCTGGAGGAGCTCAGCAGCCGAATAAGTATGTGTAGAGAGGAATTTGAAGCTGCGCGGAATCAGGTGCTGACACACAAGAGGGAATATGAGGAGGCTGAGCAGCTCTCCCGGCAGCAGAGGGAAGCTTTTAACAGCATCGCAGAGGAAGCTGAGCCCATTAAGGTTAGAGAAGAAGTCAAGAGTGTGTGTAACATCATCAGTGGACAGCTTTTAACCGCCAGAGTCCTAATTCCTCTTAGCTAATGTTTAAAAATGGCAGACTGTCAAGCTTTAAAATAAGGATCATGAGCTTCAAGTTCACTACTGAACAGTCCACAACAGCACACATTCTTAATTATCAATGTGTGCAATCTAGTAAACAGTTTTGTTTTTACGTGATTTCTTGTAGGAGCAATTGAGCAACAGTGATCAGGAGTTGGAGAGGAGTAAACATCATAAAAAACACTATGAAGAGAAGCGGAAAGCCCATGTGGACATGATTGAGACACAAAAGAAGAACTTGAATGAGAAGGACCAGCTGTTACAGGTGACCAAACCCTGACATCTTACACTGATCCATTAGATATGAAAAGATTTGCGTTTGTTTGACTGAATCTATTTTTGACAGGCTTCCATAGCGAAAGCCTTAGAAATTTGCCCAGAGCTCTTGGATGTGAGGAGAACAGCGAAGAGTTTGGACAGCGAGATCAGCCGCCTCAGACACAAGATCAACACACAGCAGGACCAACAAGGACACAGAGACACTATCGTCAGGTACATAGACACAGTCTCCAGCTGTCAAACAAATGAGACCGGGTGGTATTTCACCCCAAAATCAAAAGAAAGAAACAAGAAATTATATTTAATGTGAAGAAAAAATAAGCCTATTTTCAGGACCATTAAAGGTTATTTTAATATATAAAATAATTTTGATATATAAATTTATATTTACTGAAATTTACTCGAGTTTGTTCATCAGAAAATATTTTGAGAAATTTAGCATTACATCACTTGCTCAGCAATTGATCCTTTGCAGGAAATGGGTGCCGTCAGAATGAGAGTTCAAACAGCTGATAAAAACATAATAATCCGCAAGTAATCCACACCACTCCAGTCTATCAATTAATGATTTGTGAAGTGAAAAGCTGTTTTTAATAAAAAATACAACAACTAGAATTAAAATGATTTTTAACATCAAACGAGTGCTCTACTATAATACTGCTTTCTCAAGAGAAAAATTCACCTTATCTGAATCAAGAGAGAAATGTGCATTTACAAGCAAAAACAGCCCAAAGCAATTCTAAACATATATGTGAGATTGCAAAAGGAGATGGATTTTATTCCACTGGAGGAAGTGTTATTATGGATTATGGACTCTATTTTAGCCGAAAGCATTGGTATAAAGTTAAAACACTAATGATGGAATTGTTTCTTACAAACATGCAGCTTTTTGCTTCACAAGCTGTTAATTGATGGACTGGAGTGGTGTGGATTATTATGATGTTTTTATCAGCTGACTCTCATTCTGACGGCACCCATTCACAGCATAGGATCCATTAGTGGGCAATTGATGTAATGCTAAATTTCTAAACTCTGTTCTAAAGTAGAAACAAACTCATCTACATCTTGCATGTCTTACAGTTTTGCAGGATATTTAAACATATTTCCTCTCTGATTCTCCCCTCAATTCTTAAAATAAACTGTTTGTGATATTTATACTAATATATAACATGGTATATGAATATAATAATTAGGGATGCCACCATAAACTCGCTGTTCTGGCACGGGGCCAACTACCATCGCCCCATGGACCTCCCAGACACCAAGGGACTGTGCTGGAGGGAAGGAATCCTCCGGTGTCTGGAGAGCGTCCTGCCCCGAGCCAGAACCAGCCCGCCGGCCGCAGTAAACAGTTTTGTTTTTACGTGATTTCTTGTAGGAGCAATTGAGCAACAGTGATCAGGAGTTGGAGAGGAGTAAACATCATAAAAAACACTATGAAGAGAAGCGGAAAGCCCATGTGGACATGATTGAGACACAAAAGAAGAACTTGAATGAGAAGGACCAGCTGTTACAGGTGACCAAACCCTGACATCTTACACTGATCCATTAGATATGAAAAGATTTGCGTTTGTTTGACTGAATCTATTTTTGACAGGCTTCCATAGCGAAAGCCTTAGAAATTTGCCCAGAGCTCTTGGATGTGAGGAGAACAGCGAAGAGTTTGGACAGCGAGATCAGCCGCCTCAGACACAAGATCAACACACAGCAGGACCAACAAGGACACAGAGACACTATCGTCAGGTACATAGACACAGTCTCCAGCTGTCAAACAAATGAGACCGGGTGGTATTTCACCCCAAAATCAAAAGAAAGAAACAAGAAATTATATTTAATGTGAAGAAAAAATAAGCCTATTTTCAGGACCATTAAAGGTTATTTTAATATATAAAATAATTTTGATATATAAATTTATATTTACTGAAATTTACTCGAGTTTGTTCATCAGAAAATATTTTGAGAAATTTAGCATTACATCACTTGCTCAGCAATTGATCCTTTGCAGGAAATGGGTGCCGTCAGAATGAGAGTTCAAACAGCTGATAAAAACATAATAATCCGCAAGTAATCCACACCACTCCAGTCTATCAATTAATGATTTGTGAAGTGAAAAGCTGTTTTTAATAAAAAATACAACAACTAGAATTAAAATGATTTTTAACATCAAACGAGTGCTCTACTATAATACTGCTTTCTCAAGAGAAAAATTCACCTTATCTGAATCAAGAGAGAAATGTGCATTTACAAGCAAAAACAGCCCAAAGCAATTCTAAACATATATGTGAGATTGCAAAAGGAGATGGATTTTATTCCACTGGAGGAAGTGTTATTATGGATTATGGACTCTATTTTAGCCGAAAGCATTGGTATAAAGTTAAAACACTAATGATGGAATTGTTTCTTACAAACATGCAGCTTTTTGCTTCACAAGCTGTTAATTGATGGACTGGAGTGGTGTGGATTATTATGATGTTTTTATCAGCTGACTCTCATTCTGACGGCACCCATTCACAGCATAGGATCCATTAGTGGGCAATTGATGTAATGCTAAATTTCTAAACTCTGTTCTAAAGTAGAAACAAACTCATCTACATCTTGCATGTCTTACAGTTTTGCAGGATATTTAAACATATTTCCTCTCTGATTCTCCCCTCAATTCTTAAAATAAACTGTTTGTGATATTTATACTAATATATAACATGGTATATGAATATAATAATTAGGGATGCCACCATAAACTCGCTGTTCTGGCACGGGGCCAACTACCATCGCCCCATGGACCTCCCAGACACCAAGGGACTGTGCTGGAGGGAAGGAATCCTCCGGTGTCTGGAGAGCGTCCTGCCCCGAGCCAGAACCAGCCCGCCGGCCGCTGCGAAGTCAAGCCCGCCGCCGTCCGTGGCTCACCCAAGTCAGCCGGCAGATAATATGGCAAGCCCTCTAAACATTAATATGGCAAGCCCGCCGGACCTTAATGTGGCAAGCCCGCCAGACGTTAATGTGGCAAGCCTGCCGGACTATAATATGGCAAGCCCAGCGAACATTAATATGGCAAGGCCGCCAAGCGTTCATGTGGGCCCAGTGTCGGTTCCAGCCCCAGTGCCTGCTCCTCGTAAGCGCCTTCCAGAGCACCCTCCAGTGCCCGCTCCTCGTAAGCGCCTTCCAGAGCGCCCTCAAGTGCCCGTTCCCCCAGAGCTCGCTCCAGTGTCGGCTCCAGCCCCAGAGCTCGCTCCAGTGTCGGCTCCAGCCCCAGAGCTCGCTC